GGGCAGGCTTCCTCTCTCCCGAGGAAGTGCCTTCCTTTTCCGTCAGCGCAAAGCAACCCGCTGAAGCAGCTAGGCTTTCTTGCCCTGTTTCACCTGGGACCCCTAAAAGTTGCAGCCCCCTTTGCAAGTATTTTATTAGCCCGGAAGTAGAGGGACATTCGTTGAGAAGCTTTGTTACTTCTCATTTGTTGAAAAATTACCCCAAACAGAAAGAGGCACGGCAATTGTGCGGATTCCATTTGAGGACGGAGCAGAAGCTACCAGAACCTCAGATGAAGTGAGAAACTTCCTAGGGGACAAAGCATTTGACACTATTTTCATTTTAACATCCACACAGTGCCCCACATTCTCCCAATCGATATCCCCAAAGAGGACTGGGAGAGCCAGATAGGAACCTTCCGGCTGATTACAGGGATTCGGCTGATTAGATCTTGGGGAAGGTCTAACTTCTTTGAAAGGCAACTGTAAAGTCATCCAAAAGCTTGTGAACCTTGTGCTTCCCAGTCAGCACTGCCTGTCCCAGAAATCCTGCTTAGTTCTTTTGGAGGGGGGAGGCATCAAAGGTTAAAAAGAAAGAAAGGAAAAGAAAAATGAAAGAAAAAGGAGTGCTAGCAAGAATTCTGTCCCTGACAGGAGCAGCTAGCTCGAGAGTCTGGCCTGTGGACACCAGACACCATACCTAAAGAATTGTTTGGAAGAGAGCCTTTGGCAAGCCTTCTAATTTGCATTCAGAGGAAACGTGCCTATTTTCCACAACAGGCAGCCTGGCCAACGCTACCAGGAGGGGGAGGGCTCGCTTCTCGGCGTCTTGCCCATCCACAAAGCGGAGCTAACCGTACCTACGCAACAGGGATTGTGATCTGATGAGATGTCATACTGTCTCCAGGACACAATAGATACTCAGTAAGTTGTTCCTTTGTTCTTCCCACTCCTTTCCTACAGCCCCTACTCCCATGTACTGATAGCACTGAATCACCCAGACCTTCTCATGAGCAAAGATACTATATGCAGGCCAGACAGCAGCTGGGCTCTGCAGCCAAAGCCCAGACCTTGACTACCTTCAGCACCCTCCTCTGATGGCCCAGCTAGCCAGCCGCAGAGCTGACACTTGGGACCCTTTCAGAGCTGTTCAGTGGATGTGGCGGGCAGCACAGGTGTGGAGTTGTGGGGGGCTCTCTGTGTGTGAACCCGTGTTTTCTTCATGCAGCATGGGTATTTCTTCCATTTGCCTGCAAAAGCTCTTCAGTGCTTGCTCTAGTCGGCCCAATCACAGTGCTTTATTTTGTGAAGAACCCCATGGAATGCGGTCTCCTTGGCAGCCAGCAGGCTTCCTCTCTCCCGAGGAAGTGCCTTCCTTTTCCGTCAGCGCAAAGCAACCCGCTGAAGCAGCTAGGCTTTCTTGCCCCTGTTTCACCTGGGACCCCTAAAAGTTGCAGCCCCCTTTGCAAGTACTTTTACTAGCCCCGGAAGTAGAGGGACATTCGTTGAGAAGCTTTGTTACTTTCTCATTTGTTGAAAAATTACCCCAAACAGAAAGAGGCACGGCAATTGTGCGGATTCCATTTGAGGACGGAGCAGAAGCTACCAGAACCCTCAGATGAAGTGAGAAACATTCCTAGGGGACAAAGCATTTGACACTATTTTCATTTTAACATCACACAGTGCCCCACATTCTCCCAATCGATATCCCCAAAGAGGACTGGGAGAGCCAGATAGGAACCTTCCGGCTGACTACAGGGATTCGGCTGATTAGATCTTGGGGAAGGTCTAATCTTCTTTGAAAGGCAACTGTAAAGTCATCCAAAAGCTTGTGAACCTTGTGCTTCCCAGTCAGCACTGCCTGTCCCCAGATAATCCTGCTTAGTTCTTTTTGGAGGGGGGGGAGGCATCAAAGGTTAAAAAGAAAGAAAGGAAAAGAAAAATGAAAAGAAAAAGGAGTGCTAGCAAGAACTCTGTCCCTGACAGGAGCAGCTAGCTCGAGAGTCTGGCCTGTGGACACCAGACACCATACCTAAAGAATTGTTTTGGAAGAGAGCCTTTGGCAAGCCTTCTAATTTGCATTCAGAGGAAACGTGCCCTATTTTCCACAACAGGCAGCCTGGCCAACGCTACCAGGAGGGGGGAGGCTCGCTTCTCGGCGTCTGCAGGTTTATCCCTGAATGCTACGGAAGCAGCAGCTGCCAGGGCACGGGGAATACAGCTTGCAGAGTCCTAAAACTCTTGAGTAAGCTGGATTTCACACTCATGACCTAAAAAGGCAAAGACTAGATACTCCGATGCCTGCCGCGGATGCAGCCTGCGCTCGGCGGCAGGATGTGTTGCCACTGAGCCGTTTATTAGTCAGTCCAGTCAGGCCAGCCACGGGCTCCAGCTGGCACGTGACAATGGACACATTGCACACTGCCTGTGGCTTGCAGAGCATGTGCACGTAACCTGGTCCTGTGTGACCTTCACAGCCCTGTTCAATGTAATCTCCTTTCACAAATATTGAAAACCAGGGCTTGGAGGATCAGTGACTTGCCCAACATCAAAATGCCAGGACCAGACCTGCAGATCAGGCCTTCTGTAGACGTTTCCCATCCCAGGCTGCTTCCGTTTCAAATGAGCACATTCTTCATGTCCCACTGCTCACCAGCACCTCCCCACCTGCTCGTGCAGGTGAGAAGGAAGAGAACTGGTAGGTGAGTCATCTTACATTGCCCTCTAGGTGGGTTACACAGAAGTGTTTCTTTCTCGTTAGATCGATCCCTGGCCGCCCTAATCGTGGGGAGCTGGTGAAGACGAAGAATGGAAACTAGGTAATGATCCCGAAGCCACAGCAATGGAAACGCTGCAACAGACTTTCCACTGTTGAAAGGAACATCAGACTTCCCCAAAAGTTTTCATTGCAAAATGCCCACCCAGTTATTAAGGAAACAGGATTAACTTACTGCGTACGGGAGAGAAATCACTTGGCAGTCACAGAGCAAAGTGGACTGTGACTGCAGGAAGGGCAGAGAAGGCAGAGTCAACAGGACACAGACTCAGAGAGCAAGAAGGGTTCCACATCAGCAGCAGAACGCTGTATACGCATTTACAGGGGTTCCCACCACAGCTGGACCTTGCTGACCACCTTCTGTGGCCGTGCACGGCTTCCTGAGACTGTCAGGGAAGGGGCAGCCGCTGGGAGGGGGTCCCAGGTTCATGGGCTTGCTAATTCTTTCCTATATTCCGCTCTGTTTTCTGTCAGCAGTAAGGAAATACATTCTAGCAAATGACATCCAGTAATGCTTTAATTAACTGCAGTACTTTGTGCTCCAATATGCACCAAGAAATCACTTCCAGATGGGGGCAAATGAAAGATATTTACACAAAAAAGCAATCCCTTTATTTTAAGGAAATTTATATGTCCCATGGGTATAGAACTTTGAGGGTCCAGGAGGCTATCTATTTTGATAACTGCTAGAATGAGACTGGAAACTTTTATTTAATATATAAAATGCAACAGTATTCTTTATGGATGCCAGCTTTTCGTGTGTCTGTGTCTCCAAGGCTATTGCTTAAAAGGCCCAATGCAGCTCTAACTATTTTATTTTTAGGAATCTGACTTGGAGTAGACAAGAAGTGTGAAACACTTGCTTTTACCCTCCAGCAAGCCAGTTATTTTGAGAGTTCTCTTCCTAGGGAGGGGGATTACATTTCCAGCTGTGCACTCTTGGCACTTCCCCAGCATTCTGTAAACAGGGAACCGGGTTTCCTGGCCCAGCAGCCATTCAGGATGGGCCAGTGTAACATCCTCCGCATCAGGCAGCATCCTCGGACCTGTTCTCTTGCCCCGTCTGCCTCATACCTGCCTTGCTGGTCTTGGCTTGTCTGCTCTCAACCCTGCCGAATCTGCGTGGAGGAGCCCCCCTAGCCATGAGAAAGGAGGCACCGTTTGTGGGTGGTGGGCAGAGCCCTGGATACTGCTCCTTTGTTCTTCAAGAGAGGGAGGAGTGGCAAGAGTTAGCGTCAATGCCAGAACCGAACTTGCAGGTCAAAGCACCCTGTCCATGTGGCTCCTGTTTCACTGCTGCAGACCGAACAGAATTTTCTCCAGCCTGGGCACCTCTAAGCCAGCTATCAGAGAAGTCTGCCCATAATAAGAGCACTAGTGAATTCTTTATTGATTGTAAATTGCCAGTATTTATTTTAACCGCAAAGTGACTTCAAAGTTGTTTTTGTTTTTTTGCTTCTTAAAGGGGCTCGAGAAAGTGGAGGGAAGGAATGGGCACAAGTTTAGCTGGATCACAGAGCTGTTAGCTTCTGCTTTTATCATAGTTGTTCCTGTTATATACATCATTGTGAATAACATATAAAACAAGATAACACAAGGCTTCTGCTTGGGATTTGGTCAAATCAAGAAGAATCCTAAACAGCATGGGGAGAGCCTGATACCTGACACAGTCCCCACCAACAACGCAAGTTTAAAGTCGCAGCTGCCAGCTCTCAGCAAGGCACGTGTACCAGGCCGGTACCAGCTTGGCGCACAGCCGTTACCCTTGCTTAGAGAGCTTGCTTACGTTTATACAAATGTGCCACAGGGGCCCTTCAATAAAGCAAATTTCTCTCTGCTGCAATGGTTCTTAGCAAGGAATAAATATTATAATCACCTATGGACCTTTTAAACCTATATGCCAGGCCCCACTCTAGACTTCCTGACTCAAAGTCTCCCGGCATCTGTATTTCTTAAAAGGGGCCCAGGTGATTCGGAGGCACATCCCCGGCGGAGAAGCATGCTTTGTCTTTACAGGATGCGCGTACAGTATCCAGCCCCCATCAGCGAGACAGTTAACGTAACTCCTACTGACATCTGTTGGCTCCTTGGGGATTACTGACAATGTAATAAATCAAGAAAGCAACTTCCCAGGCTGTGACCACCAAGCGTGGAAAACAGCAGCTTGACATCTCAATGCCGTTACGGAGATGGCCAGAACTTGGCTCCTCACGAATGAGCCGAGAGAAGAGAAGTGTGGATTTGTAAACACCGAGAGTGACAAGAACCAGGTGCCGGAGTCCACCGGCTTTCCCAGCTCCCCTGGGTGGACACAGCTGGCGGGGTCGTCCGCACTGTCTGGAGATGGGTCACTCCCCTTCTCGGCAGTTACTGAAGCCTGTGGCACCTCGCCGGGGCCCCACGACAGCCAGGCAGGACCCCCCTGCCGAGCTCCGGGTGCTCTCCCAGTGCCCTCCCCGCCCCTCCTGCACTCGCCTTGTTTATGAATGGAATCCTTTCCTGATGGAGCTCAGCTCAAGGTCACGCCTCTGTCTTCCACGCCTTATTTTCTTTTCAGTGTTCTCAAATTTGAGATGCCCAATACGCGAGAGTCGTACTGACCAGCAAGAATAGGCTGGAGACTGATGAAGAAATGAGGCCCAGGGTCAAGGCTGGGGCTGCCGGACGGAGCCGGGGAGGGAGCTGAGGGAACGGGCAGGGAGCACTGCACAGTGATGCTGGGAAAACGAGCTGGGGAGGACCAAGCAGTGCTTCTGGCAGATTTCAAACCTTCAAGTTTCCTACTGGATGACTGTTGCAAGTTCTATGGATTTTTAGGAAACTTCCCCTGTCCTGAAAACTCATGTCTGAGTGCTGCTTGATGTCCCAATTTTATCCCAAGCCTGTTATAAGCATTCTGTGTAGAGAGCTCCACCTTCCTCCTCAGCGCCCCCCAACCTGGCCAACAGATATTAATTAATATTATTCTTGAACAAAAGCTGACACCAACACCGGTTGGCCTGTGGTTGTGGTCATGGTACACTGAGGCTTAGTTTCATGTGAACCAAGAGCATCAGGGCAACTACCCGACATGTTGCCTGTTTTCTGGATGCAGGATCATGCGGGAGGACCGAAGTGGTTCTCTGCGGCGATTCTCCTCTGCACGCTCTGCCACTGAGAACCAGCGGTGGGCAGGAAGGGCAGGCCGGGGCAGGCTGCGTGCTGGGTGGTGCCAGGTTCTCAGCCTGGTGTACAGGTCTATATTCTGTTCCTAAGGTGTCCATGAACCCAGGTTCTTTCTCATTAGGAACATGGTAACATGTTGCCCAGCCATTGCACCTTTGTTGTTTCAGATGACTCTGGAAAGTACTCTGGATTTGAAAATGAACGGACAGGAAGGGATTAGAAGGGTACAGGCCTCCGGGGTTTTCCCATAGCTTTATCTAAGGAGAAAGCCTAAGGAATATTTTCCAAGAGAACATTCTGTTTTCCCTGTCCAGAAGGCAACCCTTTTTCTAGAAGTTAGGAGCAGAGTGAGAACAAAGAAATGGAGAAAATAATTTGCTCTCATACTCCAGTGAGTGTGCCCAGCAGAACCCTGTCTCCAAGTCACATCTGGGTCTGTCCCACACCCAGGTCAGGAGCCTCACGGCAGCAGGACACCTGCCTCCGAGGCCTGGCACATGCAACCCTCTGGGGTGAGAGAGACTGAGGGCCTCTCTCCCTTTAGAGATTACTAAGAAATGGGGAGAACACAGGGACAACCTGGCCAAGGCATGAAAAGTACCAGAAACAAAATACGTACTAGGAAACTGGGATTTACACGGAAAAGTATGCACACGTCCATTGCCTTCAGAAAGAAAGGCTGGTTTTCCACCTGTCACCTGCCACTTCACTAACTCAGGCCCTAGAACCAAACCCAGAGACACAGGAGGAAAACTCAGCATTCTGGCTGCAGAGGTGGTCTCAACAGTAGCAGCGGGAAGAAGGGGGGGATCCGGACCTCCCCATCCAAGCTGCCTGGGCAGGTGTGCAGCAGGGAAGGGGGCCCACGTGTCAGAGGGTCTGGCTGCCGTGCTGAGGCTGCAAGAGCCGCTGACGATCCCCCAGCCAAGAGCAGCCCTGAACACAGGGACCTTCACGTTGTTGCCTCTCCTTCAGGAATCAGACATAATCTAAACTGCCTTATCATAAACCGGCCCTCACTCAGCGTCGCCAGTTTGGACAGGAATTAAGACAGGGCATGGGAGAGATGCATTAACAACCCAGATGTCCCAGAAAGCTTCAACACTGACGATCTGACAGTCCCGGGGAGCACAGGAGAGGTTGGGGGGCCTTCCAGGGAACTGGGTGCTGAGGGTCATCGGCCAGGGAAAGAACAGTGCCCCGACGCTCCTACAGTCTCTTTTTAATTAGCTTCTCGAGTTTGCGGATGCGAGACGACTCCTGTTCCGGTGTTGGGGCCATCAGAGACAGTGAGCTGGAGCCTTCTGCCCCCGAGGGCGGGGCGGGGAGCCGCTGGCGCAGGAGCTCCAGCATGCTGCTCTGCTCGCTGCGCTTCAGCCCCTGCAGGTGACAGAGAGGAGGGTGGTCACGGCCTGGGCTGGCCAGAAGGGAAAGCATAGTGTCTGGGTGCGCTGAGGGCTGAGGCTCTAAAAACAGCACAATCACTCTGAGCATAATAGGCTGAAGATTGACACCTTCCTCAGGGGAATGGCCAGCCCTGGGTAGTACCCGGGGAGAAGAGCGGAGGAAGGAAGAAAGGTAATAGGATAGGAGAGAAAGAAGGGGTTGAGAAACAAAAGGACAGGGAAAGACAGGGGAAAGGAAGACCCCGGCTCTTCATGTCGCTCCCTGCACCCCTACCCCCTGCAGAGCAGCGGGTCTCAGCGGCCCAGAGGTCCTGTTAGAACCCTGAGTTCACACGCCCGGGACCATCCTCCTCAAAAGGCTCCTGGATTCCGGTCTGTGGTGTGGGGCCTGGCACATGCATTTTGAGAGCGCCTCCCAGAACCTATAACCCACCCCTGAGTGTGAGAAGGATGAGCAGGTGTGGACAAGACAAGACACTGGGCTAACCTTCATGTCCAGTATCTTCTGGAAAGTTTCTGTGTTGCAGTCCGTGAGGAGTTTGATGTAGTTGTCAACAAACACCACCAAGGGTTCATGAGGGGCCATCACTACCTGCCGAGGGAAGGGAGGAGATGAGAGTGGGTCTCAAGGACAAAGAACTCACAGCTGGGGGCAGGGTCACCTCTCCTCACTCCAGCCAAGCACAGAATGGATTCTGCAAGAGTCCCTCAAGCAGCAGCAACCCTAAACTCAGAAATGTCCTGATGGCCTATGTTGTCTTCACATTCAATGAGAGCCATGTTTCCTGAATTGGCTGAATCATAAATATCACTTGGATTTCTTTTGAAAGCACAGATATCTGTGTCCCTCCTCTAAAGATTCTAACTCAGCTGGCCTGGCTGGGGTCCCAGGTGATTTGTAAAATATTAGGACCGACCTATTAGGTACAATAAACACTATTCTGGTGATGAATACACTGAAAGCCCTGACTTCAATTTATCCATGTAACATAAAACACTCATACCTCTTAAACCTATTGAAATAAAATGAACTAAATATTAGGACCATTTGGGAAACACTATGTCAGAAGGTCTCCTGTTTGAGATATTTCATGGGTATGTGGTACCTGGTCCTTCTGTCTTGATATATCCTTATTCCTGAGACATGGAAAGCAGAAGGAACTGATATTGAGTGGATTTTCTCAAAACCAAACATCCCAAATCTGCCTATTTTGAAGACTTAAAAAATCCTGAGCTCCATTTAACTACATTTCTTTAAAGTATCAATTGATATACAGACAGAAGGAAAGGAATGGCACTGCAGTCCTCAAATTCATTTCCATTTGGTTTTGGAATGCAGTATCTGATTGTCTTCTCCCAGGAGACTGATTTTGTTTTGAATTCCTGATAATGTACCAAGGAGTGGCAAGGATAGTTCACTCAGGAATCCCCTGCAATAATTCCCAAACTGTATGCTCTACTCCCCCGTGAGAGAGCCAGGGAAGAAAAAGACTAGGCTGCTTCCGATGTCCTCAGGCCATAAACTAAGGTCTGTGCAGTGCCCTCACCTGGTCCTCCTGTTGCAACCCGAGGTCCCACGGCTACTTTCTACTCCGGCTATCATCTGAGTCATTCTGTTTGGGAAACAGACCTGAAGTGCCTGCAGGCCCTGGCCTTCTAAGACACATCACTACGGCACCATTTGTTCTCTGGCTGTCACCCCTCTTCCAAATAGGCCCCTCGCTTCTCAACAAGTACAGGTGGAAATCAGATGCAGATGCTCAAGGCTTCAGACATTCATCACTCGGAGTACAATATTTTGTTAAATGAGGCTTTAAAAAACCCATTTGCTGATTAGATTCAGTTACTACAACATCTGTTCAGAGTTCATTGAAAGCCGCAGAGCACAGAGAGCCAAAAAGGCTCATGTGGAAGGGAGGAGCGGATGGCTGGGCCTGAAATCCCTGCTGAGAAGCAGAGGGACCCCCAACTTATCCACTGATTCACAGCGACAACTTCACCTAACTTCCCATCTTGGCCAAGTCGTTTTACAAGACGACCCCATGACGGCAAAAAATTCATTTGTCGGGAAAAACCCAATCCCCAAGTAACTGGCCACTGACTGTCCACAGTACCCGATGAGGTCAAAAAATTCAGTCCAGCCAAAATGTGGACAATCCTTTGGGCCTTGTGGAGATAGCCACTCCCTCCCCTCCACCCGGTGCTTTCAAAACCAAAACTCCTTGGAACAAGTGATTGAGTAAATGAGCAGCCCCTTTTATCAGAATCCCCGAGAAAGACATGTCATCATTACCTTAAGGATCATCTCAGCCCGGGTCATGCCTTTCACGACAATCTTAGTGTAGCTGGCGGGTGCCTTCCTCACCACCTGAGAGCCGATGGAGGGGAGATCAAGCAGGACCATCTTCAGCGAGTGAGTGTCCAGCAGCAGCTGTGGGAGCAATGCAGAGCATTACTGGCCACTTCTCAGGGACCCAGCACCTTGAATGACATTTTCCTGATTATACAAGTAATACATTCTCGTTGCAGAAAATTTGGAAAGTAAACAGAAATATAAAAGAAAAAAATTATTTATAATTCCCATTACCCAGGGAAAAAAAAACATCAAGAAGCCACAGGTTTTTTTTTGTTTGTTTGTTTGTTTTTTTGAGACATGGTCTCACTCTGTCACCCAAGCTGGAGCGCAATGGCATAATCACAGCTCACAGCAACCTCAACCTCCTGGGCTCAAGCAATCCTCCTGCCTTGGCTTCACGAAGTGCTGGGAAACCACAGTTAAATGTAGTATAATTCCTGCCAGTCTGTCTGTGTGTGTATAAAAAACTAAATCAGAATTATATTTTGCGCATATGCAGTTTTATAACCTGGTTTCCCCACTTACTATATGAAGTTTTTGTATTCTATTTTTTTATCCTGGCAGTCTTAAAAAAAAAAAAATCATGATTATTTCCTGTCAGTCACTGCATTCCAGTCTGGGCAACAGAGTGAGTGAGACCTCCATCTCTAAAAAAAAAAAAAAAACCGTGATTTTTTTAAATGGCTGTACAGTACTCTATGGGGAGGGTGTGTTTGTATAAACTTTAAGATCTTTCCAAATGGAATGCATCTATTCAGACATCTGCCAGCAGTACAAACTGCACCCTCACCTGCACTGGAAACTCTCATGAAATCTTTCTTGTTTGTTAGGCAAAAAATGGTAACTCATTATTGCTGTATTTTGAATTTCTCTGGATGCTAGTGAGGATGTAGGAGATTTAACCAAATTTAAAAACTGTATCTTGGCTACAATCCACATTTTCCTGTTTGTTTGTTTGTTTTGGTTCTCTTGGATGCCAACTACCTAGAAGGATATCAACTCTCCTGACTGGCAGGAACAATGCTGTTTCATCACAGTTGGTGTGCATGAGGCCCTGCCCTGGAAGTTGTTTATTGTGCTCATTTTACAGATAAGAAAACCAAAGTTCCAGAGGTTTAGTAAGTCACTAAACTCATCTCAGGTGAGGAATGGGGTTAAGGTGATGAGGTAGACAGGAAGCTGTAATTCCATTTCCTGCTGCCCAGGTAAATGCCCCTGGGCAGTTTGGGCTCAGAGCTCACACTGATTCCTGCTAACTCCTATTACTGCTATTATTCTTGGTAACCAGGTGGCATAGAAAACTAAGTCAGAATTATATTGTATCTATATGCAGTTTTATAACCTAGTTTTAAAGCCAGAAGGGTAACTCTGGCTGTTCAGGAGAATAGAATCACACTCCCACTAACCAGACAAGGCAGCAGTGGGGTGACAGTTCCTGCTGCCACTACTAAACTGTGATGATAATGCTAAATCTTAAGTTTAGGACAAGGTCTGTGGCTCCTCTTGGAAAGCCTTATAAGGCTTTATATTATAATTATGTCTTATATTATAAAGCCTTATATTATAACCCTTATATTATAAGGCCTTATATTATAATTATGCCTTAATTATATCAGGCAGACAGGAACAGAATCCTTTCCAGCCTACGATGCTCCGCATCCTCCAATTTTCCACTTACTTTGTTTTGGACAGGAGAATTAATGAGTATAGATAAACTAATTAATGAGAGACTATTCATGGTCATAGTGATTATATTTTTGAAAATGGTATAAAAATTAGGGGATGACAACAACGTTTTATTTGGAGTAGTTTAGACGGAAACATTACTCTCAAGAAGTGGTAAGAAATGACACTAAAGATAGAATAATTTTATGCAGTCATGTGGCTTAGTCAAAGGCCTAAACTATGTAGGGCATTCAACTGCATGCCAGCAAAATGCCAGGGCATTTTGGACCTTTCTAGATTTTTCAGAGATGAAAATTCTTACTATCCCAGTTTTGAAAAGGCTTACAGAGAAGCACGCAAGCATCCAGGGGAGAGAACGGCATAGACTACCCGAGGCCCACATGAAGAGCGCAGTGTCAGCACTTCCCAGAGCCCCACTGGAAAAGACTATTGCTTTCTCAGAGCGAACCCAGTACATGCCTCTAAAGAACAGGTATGCTCAGTTCCAGGTGGATTAAAATCCTAGATATAAAAAGAAAAACTTTAAAACGTTTAGAGGAAAATACAGAGATTATTTTTCTTGCTTATGGGTGGGGAAGAATGTCAAACATGGGAGAGGTTGAAAAATCTACTACCCTAAAATAAAAGAAGTCTGTATCAGAAGACACAAGCAAAGTAAAAGACACAAATCAGGAGAGGATATGCACAATATTGACAAAGGAATGATATTCAGAACACCCGAAGATTCCTATAGATCAGTAAGAAAACAATCAGCTGTCCCAACACGGACAACAACAGTGGGGCAAAGAGAAAACTCAAATGCTCAAAAGGCATGTGAAATGATACTTAACCTTATTAGTAATTGGAAAATGCAAATTAAAACCACAAATGTATGCCATTTCATACTCATCAAATAGACAAAGGTAAAAAGACTGATAATCAAATGTTGACATGGATATGGCACTGAAATTCACAATCATGGTAAAAGTATAAATTAGTTTAAGTGCTCTAAGGGAAATTCAGTAATATTTTCATATTTTCTTTTTTTCTGAGACAGAGTCTCACTCTGTTGGCCTGGGTAGAGTGCCATGGTATCATCACAGCTGAACGATACCTAAAACTCCTAGGCTCAAGCAATCCTCCTGCCTCAGCCTCCAGAGTAGCTGTAACTACAGGCACAAGCTATGACACCCGGCTAATTTTTTCTATTTTTGGTAGGGATCGGGTCTCACTCTTGCTTAGGCTGGTCTCGAACACCTTCCAGAGTGCTAGGATTACAGACTTGAACTAGCACACCCAGCCTCAGTAATATTTTTTTAACTGAAGATGCATATAATCCATAACATAGCATTTATATTTACATCCTTCAGAGAAATTCTTGCCCATATAAAAAAAAAAACACGTTTCCTGCATCCATCCATTGTTCATAAAAGAAAAAGATTTGAAACAACTTAAATGCCCATCAACAGGAGAATGAATAAGCAAATGGTGGCATATTCATGCAATGGAATGTAATAATGAAGTTAAGATGAATGAATGCAAACAACATTTATCAACATGGATAAATCTCAAAAAACGTAAGATGGGCAAAAAAAGCAAGTGGGGAAATGAAATACAGCATTTATATAAAGTTTAAAAATATGCAAAACAAAATCACATATCATTTGTAAATATATATGCATATAATATATTAAAAGACATATGGGAATGATAAAAATCAAAATGAGTTAGTGTTTACCTTTGGGCAGAGAGGAAGGGTGGCCAGGGTGGAGTCCATGGGGGGCTTCAGCAATAACTGTAATGGTTTACTTTACATAAAAATGATCTAAAGCAAATGTGGGGAACATTACAAATTTTACCAAGCCAAGTGGTGAGCTGGTGTTCTTTATATTACTTTCTATACTTTTTAATATTTTGGAAATTTATTTTTAAAGTATGCCATTTGAGGACTGGCAAGGATTCAGCTTTTGTCTTCCATGTAGCAAATTTTGAGAGCCTTGTCGAAATTAAAGCCATGTCTTAGCTAGGCAAAAAAAAAAAAAAAAAAAAATCAATGAATATGTTTTAAAACATATAGGGATACTTCCTAGTTTTTCTACATTTTCTACTTCCCAGAGATATAGTATATGCATAAATAATTACATAGTCTTAAGTGGCAGGAAGAGATTTGAATGAAACAGATATAACTCTCTTTTGTCCCCCATATTCAGGGTGATATGACACTTTCATTCCTTGGCCAGTCACAATAAAAAATTCTGTCTTTTACCAGACTGCTGAAGAGATGAAAACCTTGGTTTCAGGTTTTACATAAAGCAATGCAGTCAGAAAAGGCAGGAACTAGTCTGACAGATTTAGCAGCTGCTTGTAATAAGGGAAGATAAAAGGTACCATTTATCATGAAAATCTGCTAGTTTTCACCTTTGAAAATAGCTAATGGTTCATCTCCTTAGGCATGAAGCATCGGGCAAGAGGTGGCCACTGCCAAATTTGTTTGCACTTCAGGGATTATTTTTAGGGTAGTGTGGGCTGGCTGATGGTGACAGGCTACTGTGCTGCAAGGGTGGCCAGCGTGCTGTGTCTGTGGAATTTCATCATCCAGCAATAGAAACCACTGAGGGAGACACTTTACTTCTTAAAGAGCCTCCTACAATTCTTGGGGGACACCATGGCTATAAGTAGTGACGAGAATCTTGAGTAGATGAAATAAAGGCACACACTCCTTGAAGGCAAGGAACCATGTATGTGCTGCCATATATGTGAACAAAGCCATATAAGTGAATCTTTTTGCTCCAACCCATATAAAATTCTTCAATGAGGCCGGGCGCGGTGGCTCACGCCTGTAATTCTAGCACTCTGGGAGGCCGAGGTGGGCAGATAGCTCGAGGTCAGGAGTTCAAAACCAGCCTGAGCAAGAGCGAGACCCTGTCTCTACTATAAATAGAAAGAAATTAATTGGCCAACTAATATATATAGAAAAAATCAGCCAGGCATGGTGGCACATGCCTGTAGTCCCAGCTACTGGGGAGGCTGAGGCAGGAGGATTGCTTGAGCCCAGGAGTTTGAGGTTGCTGTGAGCTAGGCTGATGCCACGGCACTCACTAACCTGAGCAACAAAGTGAGACTCTGTCTCAAAAAAAAAAAAAAAAAAATTCTTCAATGATGTGACACAAAAAAGACAGTTCAAGATATCAAGGATGAATGGACCAAGGTTGGGGCATGTCTTTTTTCTTTCTTTTAAATTTAGGTATAATTTTCATACAGGGAGGTACACAAACACAAAGTATACAGGTGGATACACTTTTACATAGGTACACACTCTACTGCCTAATTGGAGATACAGGACATTTCTGGCATCTCAGAAATGCTCTCTTCCAGTCAATGTTCTCCTTTCCTCCCCAACAAAGGTAACC